AACACTAAGATGTGAAGGTGTGCTACAGCATTTACTGATTTATATCTATATAAATAATCATTGTAATTTGATTGTGCTAATGAATTTTAGTGCGGTCTCTGCAGTACAAATGTTAGATAAGAATTCTTACCCCCTTTTTAACAACATGACGGTGAAGCCCTAGGTGCTATTTATATTATTTATATTTGCTCCTCTGTATAACAGGTGCTTTTAGATCAACATACGTGCTGAGAGAGGGAGTTCTAGCGTTTCACTCTTGCTATATCTCCATTTGTCATATATTCATTCCCCTGTACAAGATTTATATTGTTCATTACCTTATTGTGCATTGCAACATGTTTTATGTGGATTAACCACTCAAATGAGCTCAATTTTGAACCCCTACATTTGAAACATTTCTATTTATTCCATTTGATATAACTGTTGTGATTTTGATACTGTATATTAGGCTTTGAAACCCTTAGTGTACTGCCTGTAGATTTTTTAAAACATGAGAGGTGGTATTTACCAATCACTGTTTTGATAAAAGTTGAAATATATATATAGCCATAATATAAAGTGATTAAGCGTATCTTGTAATTATCCAGTGTTTTACATACAACATACAGTGGTGAATTTTAACAGTCTTTAGATGGTAGTTGCTGGAATTTATTACAAGCTTGACAAACTTCTGCTTCAGAATGTAAGTTGATGGAGTCTGAGCAACTTAAAAAAAATCATCACCCGAAATAGTGAAACAACATAGTGACAGTGAGTACAAGTACATATTAATTAGGTTTTTATAGAACTAAGAACTAACAGTGTTTATTTTGAATCTGACTTTCCAGCATCATCCTTTTGCTGGGCTGAGTCTAACAAGGCCGAAGTAATGCCAGCTTTTTTTAACTCTTCTATGAGGTCTCCACTCTGGTGCATTTGTAGCAAAATGTCACAACCACCCACGAATTCTCCATTAATAAAAACTTGTGGAATAGTAGGCCAATTTGAAAAGTCTTTAATTCCTGAAAGAAAATTAAATGTCATGATGTAACATTGGTACTTAGGGAGAGAAAACAACAATGTTACGAAACTTTGAGGTTAGCGTGACGCTGGTATCAACGCAGTTATACCTTGGCGCAGTTGCTCATCGGAGAGGACGTCGTGGGCATCGTATTCAACGCCATGCATCCTCATGATCTGAACGACGGCATTACTAAAACCACATCGAGGCTCAGCCGGTACACCCTTCATGAACACAACTACTTTGTTGTTTTGCACCATCTTGGTAATGCGGTTATCCTCAGTTCCATAAAAACGCAATTGAGCCAAAGATGGTAAGGATTTGTTAAAGCGCCCAGCCTGCCTCAACATTTGACTAAGCACCGTCACGGACATTTCGAAGCTAATGTATTTACTTTCTCCTAACCTTGCCAAACTGAAACAGCGCTTGGCAGCGCAGACGACGGATGATGATGACCGTGACGTCACAAGACAGCTGAGCGCTAGTGTCGAATGAGTTGCCTACGCTCTCGGGAGTTCGCTGGACCGGAAACGCCCCCATCGCTGTCGGCCCTCCGGATCGCACTGGTAAGTGGAACAAATTTTCTCGTAACTTTTTAACGCAACTAATGGCACTCTGCGCCGTTTCGCTGCTCACGTCTGCGCCATCAATTTGGCACCGTGCCGGGCCGGCGAGAAGTGGCTCCGTGCCGGGCCGGCGAGAAGTGGCTGGTGATCACAGTGTTCGGCCTGGTCGGTCATTCCCCGACCAACGCGCGGCGTAGTAGCCTGGCGCAAAACCCTGTAAATTAGTGCGGGAAAAGTGCAGCGACCAACGGTGGTGGTGGTGGTTGTTTTTAGGGCCTGAGCGACGACGGCCAGGGCGCCCGTACCCTACCCCCTTCTCCCCCGGGCCCCCCTGCTCCGGTGACGACGCGCGGGAGAGTTTAAAATCTGTCGGTGTGGCGTGTTGTTGCTGTGTTCAATGAAGCGTGAGTGGAAAGTGAAGGCTCCCCCATTGTGGCAGAGCGGCGACGCAGGCACAACAGCAGGGCAGGGCAAGGCAGGCCAGGGGGAGGGAACGCCCCGAGTGAGGCAGTGCGGCAGCCCGCGAGCCCTCGCACGAGCCCCGAGGGTGGACCCACCCTGCAGGGTGCGGCAGCTTGTGAAGGCGTTTGCTGCGCGCGTTTTACTTGTCGAACCGCAGTCACCAAAGTTTCACGAACGGTGAGGTGAAAAAGCGCGGATTTCTGATCAATCTCTCCGCCGCACTTTTCGTCCACGACCCCAGCGGGTCGACCTGGCCGCGGGGCTGTGAGCGCTTCAACCTCAGCACAGAAGGGGTCGGCTGCGATTCGAAATGGTCTCGCCCCGCCTCGCCGCCGCAGCCGCTGGCCACCACTGGCCACCACTGGCCACCACTGGCCCACAGAATGGAGCCATTACGGTGAAAATAATTGATGTGGGTGAGTCGAGCCTGTCCGGTCAAGGTGGGGCGCGGCGGGGCGCGGCGGGCGGGGTGCGGTGGCACCTAGGGTCGCTGGGGCACAACCACCCGTATGCGACCGCGACGCCACCAACCCGATCCGAACTTCCCACCCGTTCGAAAAGAACAGTCCGTCTGATTCTCAAGCCGGGCGCTGGGCTGGCTGCAGACACCGCGCTGCTGCTCCTGCTGCTGCTCCTGCTGCTCCTGCTGCTGCTCCTGCTGCTCCTGCTCTTGCTGCTCCTGCTGGTGCTCCTCTTTCTGCTCCTGCTGCTCCTGCTGCTGCTCCTGCTGCTGCTGCTGCTGCTCCTGCTGCTCCTGCTGGTGCTCCTCTTTCTGCTCCTGCTGCTGCTGCTGGCTGATGCTCCTCTTCCTGCTAATCCTGCTGCACCTGCTACTCCTGCTCCTGCTGCTGCTGCTTCTCCTGCTGCTGCTCCTGCTGCTGCTGCACCTGCTGCTGCTGCATGTCACCCTGTCGGCCCGACAGCCGCTAGCGTCGCGACATCGCGGGGCACCGCGGTCCTCCGGTCCGCATGCAGAGCGAGCGGTGCGTGAGTGAGCGAGCGAGGATCCAGAGATAAGCGGGCGAGACGAGTGAGTCTGGGGAGCCTGGCCCGCGCCGCACCGTGTGCGAGCAGGGGGGCGAGGAGAGGGGGGAGGGGGGGCGTCGGAGCGTCGCGACGCCGCATCGGGAGAAAGTGTTGACACCGGCGGGTCATTAGCCCTCCCAGCCGCCGCACCGCAGCCCGGCGTCAGCCCGGCGTCAGCCCGCCCAGCAGGAGCCAAGGGTGGCATGATCGATGTAACCGAGCGGGGCGGGGCGGGGCGGGACGTGGCGCGCTGCGCGCTGAGAGTGGAGAGGTCGCGTCGCCGTCTGCGTGATGTATCGGAACGTATCGGAAGGACCCCCCTCCCCATCCCTCGGAAGGACGCGCGACTACAAATTTAAACGTGAGTTCAAATAATGTATGACCAGTTTGACGGTTAAAAACTTTGGTTAAATCAATGTTTGACCATAGTTTTTTATTATTATTTATGCAACGCCAATTTGATGTCGTTGTTGAAAACTGCAGTTGCAGTGCTGTTCGACTAGGGATCATCCAGAAAGTACGTCGGCGTCATGCGCAGTTATGAACCCCTGAAGTTGATCGTATGCAAGCTCCAGTAGCGCCTGGTAGATAGGCAACACCGTCCCTGCAGTGCATGAGAGTACTGCGGGGTTGCCTACCCCGAATGTCGCAGGCGCCGAGCTCCCGTAATTTGCCGAATGAATCTGAGAAAAACGCGTGCGGACTTTGCGGACGAACCCCTACTTTGCAAGCAGCAACTGCAGTTAGGGCTGCAGATAAAGTAAGTATCCTTCCGCTTGGCCCGGCACGCTCCACCTGCAGCCGCGCCGCGGGGCCTTCCGATGAAATCTTTAGAAGATTATTCTTGCTGATGATGAGAATTCGACATATCTTCTTCTCTCACCGAAACCAGGTAGGGGGGAGGGGAAGGAGGTAATAGCCCCGCGGACTCGCACATTGGCCGTTCGCTGGGCGTAGCATGATGCCCCCCCACACCTTAATTCGCGCCCTCCAGAACTCACTCACAGAGGCGAGGACAGGACACGGTGATTTCCAATCGCGCGTCTGACGTCATGGCTCTTACGCTCGTCAGCGCTCGGGCGGGAGGGCGCGACTGGCGCGGCTGTCTCTCTATGCGCTCATCGCCGCCCGCTGCTCGCTTTTTCACCACTTGGTTCCATCAATTACGGGGGCTCCCCCTGGGGCTTTCTCCCCCTATCTGTTTGGCTGGGCCACGCCACGCCACGCCACGCCACGCCACGCCACGCCTCGCTACGCCATGCAACGCCACGCCATGCCATGCCACGCCACGCCTCGAGCCTTCCGCGCGCAAAGTTGTGACCGGCATCGCAGAGGTTACACGTGAGCCTGATGAGATCAGAGGTCGCACCTCCGGGCCGGGCTCTGGGGGGGCTCCGCGGGACACTTCGGGAGAGGGGGGGGGGGGTGTGACTGGAAGTCTGTGAGCTCTTGTCCGAGAGAAGCTCTTTCTTATCTGGGCCCTGGGCTCTGCTCCGAGAGAGCGAAACACACACGTGACTCGTGACTCCAAGATTGACCCTCCCGCGCTGAAAAGTGGCCCGTGTATGACTTGGCGTGCCGCCCGCGTGTCTCCCGCGCACCGCGACAATGAAGCATCAATAACCCTGCCCCGCTGTTCGGGCGCACGGACGGACGGACGGACGGACGGCAGACTTTCCTGAGCCGGTCGCCGACCCTTCGCTCACAGTGCGATCGGGCGCCTTTTGCATAACAGCAGGCTGCTTTTGTCGAGAGGGGCGTCGTCGTGCGGAGCGTGCAAGGTGGTTTACAATGGCGCGCGTCGGGTCTCGGGTGCGGTCGCGACAAACGCCATCGGCGAGCCTAGGGCTGCTGCTGCTGATGGTCAGAAAGCTCAGGGACAATACGTCTGTGGCAGCGGCCAAGCAGAAGGCTGCTCTCTCATTATGGCTTACTCTTTTTTTGTCCGGGTCCCGTCCCGTGGCATGCTATACTCCTACTGCACCGAGCACGCGGAAGTGCAGTGCGCCAGTATGGGGGCAGCCCCACCGATGGAACGGTTTGTCGGACTGGACGTGACAACACCTTGCATGCTGCTGCTGCTGCTGCTGTTTAGCATGGCCAGAGATAAGCCAGAAAGGCAAGCGGGCCGAGCCGAGGGGCCAGGCGGGCGGGCAGTTGTGCAGTTAGGTCCCTCTGGTCGCTTTTCGCGCCTCAGTAAGCCCCTCGGTGGTCCTCTGTGGCGTAGTCAGCCGGGGCGGCACAGAGCGGCAGGGAAAGACAGAGCTGTGCACCAGGTGCTGGGAGAGGGAAGGGAGCGGCAGAAAGGGTTACAACCCTTTATCGGCGCCCCTTCTCGAACCCGTTCTGTCTGTTTCTTCTCTCTGTCTCTCTCTGTCTCCTCCACCGACTAGGTCGGACCTGGCGCGGGCACGCGCGCCCCGCGACTCCGCTATGGACATGCAAATATCACCCACAGGGCAACGGACAGCGAATTAAATTAGGCGATTGCAGTTCTGGATCATGCCCGGTGTGGCGTGGCGGGGCGAGGAGGGGCGCGGCGGGGCACCAAGTTGCACCGCGAGACACACCGGCCGGACCGCGCTCCTCGCGAATAGTAATTGCACGTCCGGGAGTTAATATTAATGACAAAAGAGCGCAAGGCGCACACAGCGCAGCGCTGGGCGAAGAGAAGGGCGGTCCAGAAACACAAACGGCGGCCCCAGGAACCCTTCACTCCGCCGGGCCGGGCAGGTGGCTGAGGGATCACCCAGAAGGTACGTCCGTCCTTCGCCGTCACGGACCTGTCATGTTCAGCCTCTGCAAGCTCTCATAGCGCCTGATGGGTAGGCAACATCTGGAGTGTGGGGCATGCGTGCACGGCGGGGTAGCCTACCCCGAGTATCGCAGGCGTCGAGCTACCGTGATTTGCCGAATGGATCCGTGAAAAATGGGCGTAATTTCTGGACGATCGGCCGCTGAGAGTGGCTGAAAGTCTTTCTGAAAAGGAGGCGTTGATGATGTGGAAATTGTGTCAGCTTCTCCTCTTTCATGAACCAAGCGAGCACTGTTGACGGCGCTCTTAAGCACTTTCGTTGAAAG